TGAGTACCCCATTTTAACTTCCATCCCAGTCAGTCTTCTGAACCAACTCCCTCTGCATGCTTTTCAAACCATCCCTCCAAATCAATCTCTCATCAACCCCCTAACCAACCTTCTTTGCAATGGACCCAGCAAATCCCTCAAAGCCAACTCCTCTCTCTCTGAAAACACTTGGTCTGCTTCCATTTTCTGTTCTCATCTCGCTTACCCTAAGCCCCACAACTGCCTCCCCACCCAACCTCATCAACATGAAGGTGTCCCCAGCACCTTAATAAGAGATAGGCCAATGGTGTTTGCCTTCAGGTGGCCCTTGAGCTGGTCACAGATCTTCACGATGAACTGATGTGGCACCACAAAAATCAAGATGTCAGCATTTGCCGCAGCCTGGACCACATCTGGGACAGCCACCTGTGGGGGGTAACTAGGTGCTCATGGGGGTAGGCAGAACTTCTCTCCCAGCCCCATTCAGGAGATCTGGGAGACAAAGAGTAAGGCTAGTGGAGGTGAAGAAACGGAGGTCTAGGGACCGAATCTGGAGGAACTGACTGAATGTGGAGGAACAAGACAAGTCCCTTCCCCCAGCCATTACTCCTTCTCAGCTCCAGCTGTCCTGGACTCTAGGACTCCTGGAAACCTCCTCCCAGCTCTCTCTTAGCTTTTGGCTATAGGACAGTGAGGGAAACTAAAGGAGGCCCTGGCTTGGCAGAAGGGAGAGAGGCCAAGTAAGATTTCATCACCCTGCTCCTTAGGGCCACCAACTGGGAACCTTAGGTCTTCCTGTGCCATCCCCTTGCTCCCCCTTGCCAGGTGGTTAAGAGAATCACCTAGATTTGACCAAAGACCTTAAGTCCAAGAAGCAGTCTCCAAGTCAGCTGATAACCCAGTGAATGAGTAACAGGATTAGAGCTCACTGGGGGAACTACCCAGACCCCGGGAAACAGTCTTTGGTTGCCACGGAGACCACCTACCTCATCTTCCTTTTCTCTATTGGAAGTCAGGTTACCCAATAAGCAAGATCAGCGTGGGCTTACTTGTGTTTATGTGCTCATCTGTAGTGAACGATATCCCATTTTTTCACCACATCAAAGATTCTGCTGCTAGGCATGACTGGCATCTGCCTCTCTCCCACCCCCACAGCACCTTCCTACATAAACAAGGCCTCTTTTCACATTTATAATCCCTTACAGGGGTAGAGTACCCAGTAAGCAAGGTGGTTGCTGTTCAGTACAGATGAGTAAGTAAACACAAGTAAAATGTGCTTACCTTGCTTATTGAGTAATCTGCCCCTGATAAGTGGGGAGGGAGATGCATTCCAGTTCTCTTCAGTCCCAGAAAGAGGCCAGGGGAACCACTTAGGGCTGGCTGTGTATTGGGGTGCTCTACAGCATGGTCTCTATGGGTCGGAATCGACTTGATGGCACTTAACAACAGTAGAAGGCACCTAGTGAGAAAGATGTGTGTGTGCTCTGACTCTTCTCAGCCTGCCTTCCCTCCAACTCCCATCCATGGTGCAGGGCATTGGGGCTTACCACATTGGGGGGCAGCTTGTGCCCTGGCAAATATTTGACATTCTCATGCTGCGAGTTGATGATCTCGGTCAGCTTCCTGTCCCCGATGTCTTCCTCAAACACCCACATGTTCACCCGTGGGTCAAAGCGTGCCAGTTGAGCTGCATTGCCACCCACGATCTTGGCAATGGCCGAGCCCCTGTGGTGGTGGGGGGCACAGTATAGTGAAGGAGCGGGGGTGTGAGGGAGGGAACTACTGTTGTTGTCGGCCTAGTCATGAGACAGAGGCAAGGCTCCGCCTCAGTGCTGCCTTCCCTGTCAACACCACCCCCATGAGAGATTGTGTCCCCAGTGACCTGGCAGAAGAAGGGAGACTCAGTCTATCTTGCACTTGGCTGCTGATCTCCCCACTTGCCCAAATCCTAGCAGCTCTTCAGGCAGGGAGCGCTCCAGAGGCTTCCTTCCTGTGGAGAGCAGGTGCAGCTGCCCAGCAGGTAAGAGCCTGGGGAGATTTGGGCACCCATCTGCCTTAGTGGTGGTGGTGACAGAGGCTGTAGGTCCCGGAGCAGAGAGAAGCAAGGGAGGAACAAGAACCTAAGGGCATTTTCCACCTGTGTCACCTGCTTGCTAAACCTCCCTCCCTAAGTCCCTCTCTGCTTGGAGGAAGCCACCCTTCCCTATACATCCCTAGCCTTCATCAGAGCCTCTTACCAGTTGCCGGAGCCTACAATGCAGACTTTCTTGCCACCCATGGTGCCGCTTCTCTTCCCAAGCTGATTTGGTGCCACACTCCCCAGCTGCTCTGCTGGCCAGGAGCATTTAACTCCACCACACGTGGGTGCAGCCAAGCCCCTCCCTCAAAGGGGCGGGGCGGGGGGAGGCGGGCACCCAGTGAGAGGGAGTCTCAGAGAGCTGGGGAACACGGAGAAAAGAGCAGAGACAGGTGGGGAGCCGGAATGGGGCAGGGGCCAGGCCCAGCTTTTCCTTTGAGATTTGCCAGCTGACAACACTGGCAAGTTCCTTCCCTTGACCCCAAGCCTCTTAGCTGCCCAGTTGCCCCCACCCTTTGTGCCCCATGGTCTCATTTTGAGGTCTGCCAAGAAATACCCCAGATAAGCAGCAAGTGACTTATTTCCCCACACTCCCTCCTGTCCCCAACATGAAAAGTTTTTATACTCAAGCTCTAGCAGCAGATACAGAAATGCTTATTTCCAAAGTTAGAATTTCCCTCTACTCTCTCCCAGGGCTCCAAGAATGCTCTACACCTTGTCCTGTAGCAGTGACAGGGATATCTCATTGGCCCCACTAGCTCCACTGTAGGAACTGTGGGCCCACATTGAATGCTAAGACCACATAACAGGTTGTGTGTTGAGTTGGTTCCAACCCATAGTGACCCTGTATAGGGTTCCTAAGGAGCAGCTGGTGAGTTTGACCCACAGCACCACACCAGGACTCCACATAACAGGTAAGGGTCTGTATTGGGCACAAACTAGCCCAAGGATAGGAAGAGGAAACTCCAGAATCTGCAAGAAACAAGGCCATCTTGGTCACTCACAATGGTCATTTCAAGGACTCACCAATGAGCTACTTGACCTCAAATGATCCTACCTGAATGACTTCCAGAAAGAGAGGGTGAGAAAGTCAGTTGGAATGCTCAGAAGCCAAGTGGCCCACACATTTCCTTGTGCAGACTTTAGGATTAAGGAAGCGGAGATAAAAGTGGCCAATTTGTAGTCTTAGAGAGGCCAGGAATTCATTCTCATTCCTCTTCTGCTGAGTTTCCAAGCTACAGTACTACCATACTAGGGCCTCCCTCAGGCTAAATGGCTAGTTTGCAGGAGCCAGTCAAGAAGGGAAGCAAGAAACTGAAGTAGCAGTTTCCTTCGTGGGTAGCTGTGACCTTTTGTGAAGCTTGGTGGTCTCAGAATGCTGTAATTGAGTGTGTGATTTGGGGAGTGCAGGGGACGGTGAAGAACACATTCAGCATTACCAGGGTTCTCTACAACCCACAGCCATCTGTTTGACTAAGAGGGAGTTCTGGTTTCTAGGCTGATCTGGAGTATGGAGCAAGAGACCCACCACTCCAGCTGTCTGTGCACCTTGGCCTAGAGAGCACACACCACTGTGTGCACGTGCTGACCTCCTGGCTTGGCTAACTCCTGAGTGGGTGTTTCCACTCCCCTGGGCTGCTGCTGGCTACAACAGCCTAAGCACTGAGAGAAGAGGGTAGTCTGTGTGCAACCACTGGGTAAACTAAGTAGGCAGGAGGTCAAGACTGGGGAAGCATTTTTTTTTCTTTTAAGTTTCAGAGACTGCCTAGGAAAAGTCTACCATATTCTTTACCCCTGGCCAGTTCCTATAAGAACATACATGAAATCAGTAGTTTTCTTTAGCACCAAGTTACATGCACTACAGAACCAGCCTCCCACAGATCCACTCCCTTACTGCACTGGTACCGAGAATGGTCCAGTGCCAGTCTACCAGCTGGGAGTACTGATATGGGTGATGAGAAAGGATGCTTCCATCCCCAGCACATATGGGAACCCAGAATATGGTCTGTATATAAAATGCCCCTTTGTTTTTGCCTGAGTGCTTTCATTGTGTGACAGAGGAGCCCTGGTGGCACTGTAGAATATGCACTGGACTATGAACCACAATGTCAGCAGTTCAAACCCACCAGCTGCTCTATGGGAGAAAGACGAGGATGCGCCCATAAAGATTTACTGTTGAAAATCCTACAGTCTTGCTACAAGCTGGAATTGATTCAATGGCTGCAAGTTTGATTTTTATAGTATGGAGACAAAGAATGTGATCATTTAAGAATAAAGTGGGTACAGAGATTCAGAGTTGGCTGGTCAGTCACAGAATTACCAGTACCACTGGAGTTCTTTTTCCAAGAGCAGACTGTAAATTTGCTTGAAATTAATGGTTCCTCAGCTATTCATTAAATGTGATTGCTGTTGTGTGCTGTCAAGTCAGTTTCAACACACAGCAACCCTGTATAGGGTTTCCAAGGAGCAGGTGGTAGGTTTGAACCACCACAGGAAGCAAAAATGGTTGTCAAGGCCCTGGCCCATATCTAAATTGCAGCCCTGGGGAAAAGTGAACTTCTCTAGGGGAGCTCAGGACCCAAGGGCAGCTCACCCCCAGCAAGAAAGCCTCTAAGCCCTGAGAATTCAGAAGAGGAAGGGAGAACACAGCAGTGCCACTGAGCTGTCAGGAACTTCTGAAGTGGGGCAGAACTCTCGGATCCAGAGTGAAGGCTGACAATCAAACCAGCACCAGCCTTGCTTGGACCACTGGATCTGACAAAACAGCCTCTAAGGCAAAAACCTGAGGTTGACTGGATAGGAACTGTGTTTTCCACTGTATCCAGCAGATGCTCAAAAAATAGTGTCAAGTAAATGAACACACACCATGATTGTGGCTAAAGATATCAGGAGAAAAAGTTCAAGGAGGAGCTCTCCCGCAGTAGGTAGGGGCACCCATCCTTTGGAAGATTCTTTATTAAAACTGGGTGACATCAGTAAGGGGACAGTACAAAAAAAAAAATTTGGTCCATGAAAAAAACATAATCAGTTAATAAAAACAGTTATCTTCAGCAGGGACACTGTAGGGATGCTGAGCTTCCTTCTCATGGTTCCAGCCAGGAGCTGGGCCAGGGCTCAGCTGTCCCAAAGACAGCTTGTCCAGTGCCACTGTGGGGAGAACCTTTCAAGGGTGGGGTAGGATAATGGCATGAGGGAAAAAATTCTGTCCCCAGTTTGGAACAGGCAGGAATAAGGGACTAGGGGATGTGCTCGCAGGAGCCTGAGGAGGGGGTGGGGAAGCAGGGGCTGTCAGTTCTGTGGGTTTACAGTCCACGCTGAACGGAATTCCCCCTCTGTGCCCAGCTGTCTCCCACCCTGCTGTGTTGAGTCTGCGAGCCTGGGAATATGTTAACTTGGGGGTGATACAACCTGGAAGAATCTGTGGCTCTCCTGGAAAGATGCAAAACCATCTCAGCTTGAAGGGGCCAAGATCACGAGGTCCTGCTGCTACCTGAGGGGTCTGAAGCTTTAAGGGCAGGGATTAGGGAGTCACAACCCTGTGAGGCAGGGACAGGGAAGAGTCACAAACCCAACTCAGAACTATTTTCCAGCCCTAGGCGCTTTCACTCCTCGGTGCCCTAAAAGACACCAGTGTGTGGTGTCAGCAGGGCAGAAAAGGGACAGGAAGACAGGGATGGCCCAGGGCTTTTACCCGTTTGGTTTTAGGCCTGTTTCTCCTTTAAGGGATTGCAGGGGGAGGGGAGGGCAGGGTGGAATGAATGAACGTACCACACCTCCAAGCAATAATGCAGGAACAGCCTCTATAGGCAATGACATTCCCTAAGGGCTCTGACAAGCAAAGGCAAAATTCCTCCACCCAAACATCTCCCATTAGGGTAGTTATGAGGGCATCTTAAAAAAGGGCAGATCCAGGAATATGCTGGGTGGAAGCAACAGTTAAGGAACAAACTCCAATACTGATGTGGACCCCCTCTAGGGAGTAAGAGAAGTACTAAGGTAGCATATTAATCCACAGGCTCAGGGGAGCCCAGACTCAGGGTTCCTTTAGTGCTCAAGGGCAATACGTGAAGGAAGAGTTTGCTCCAAACCTGTGGAGGGAAGGAAGGAAACTGGATTCTGTTATCCGGAGAGCCACGATCAACTAGCTTATAGGCCTGAGTCTTGGAGAAGGGACCAAAGCTCCCAACTCCTGGGTCTTTGAAGGGCAGGATCAGTGTAGTTGGTCCTCATGAAGACCACTTGGCCTTAGGCCCAATCCAATCAGAGCACTGATTACCACTAAAGGTTCTCTCTCTAACACTATCTAGAGGTCCTACGGAGACCAGGGAAGGGTAGAGGCACATGGGAACTCTGTGGGGCAAAGGGAAGCTGAGGGATAGGGAGGGATGGGATGGGAGAAGAGGATTAACAGTTGTCTTGTAAGACAGAAATGTGGGATCCTCTTCATTCTGGAGTTGTCCATGAACCAACAGCATCCCTTGGAAGGCCTCAACCAGGACCAAGGCAGGTGCTATGAGGCAGGGCCCAAATAAAGAATCGGTGCAGCCAAATCAGGGCTGTGGATGAGGCCCTATGTATTTCGGATTCCCAGGGCTTGCTCTAGTTCTTGTCGTCTTTGTTGCACCTATGGAGAAAACAGTGTAAAGGATAGAAGATGAGGCAAACCAAAAGTTGGTATCTAACACTCCTGACTCCCATAAGGGATAGAGACCTCGACTTTTGTCATTTTCCCCTGTGCACTATCCCAGGCACCTACCTTGGAGTAGAAGTATCGACACACAGCCTCCTGAGCCCAAGGTTGGAAGTAAAACTCAGCTCGGCGTTCTTCCTCTGGGTTACCCACAACATCGGTCATGGTCTAAGGAAGATGGCGCGGGAGAGAAGAGACTTGCTTCCTTCCTTCACACCCCTGCTATCAACAAGTCACTGCCCTGTTCAAGAATCTCTATTGGTACCCGTTTTCCCTTCTCCTAGGCTCAGCCCCTATAATTGTAGTCACACTCAGCGCAGCAAGAGCCAAGAGCACATGTCACACATTCTGTGCTCATTCCTACCTTCCTGCCTGATTTTATGGATGCTCCCCTCTCTGGGAATTAACTTCAACTCTTGTATCTGCCATGTAGCTTTTTTTCCTGTACTCTAGCCTCATTAACTTCCCATCTCTTCTGAATTATCTGATATTGTGGAGAACAGTGTCTTTACATGGTACTACTTTTCACTGTATACTAACAGAATATGTACTGCTTTAAAGGCAGAGATCAGGCCTTCCACTTCCGTATCCTCCACAAAATGGAGCACAGTGACAAGACATGGCAAGTACTAAACACACACGTAATGGTCCAGCCTCCACTTCCCTACTTCATTGTACAATGAACCCAGAAATGTGAGTATGAAGATCTGGTCCCTCACTTTCCCCTTGGGCTTTACCAGCTGCTACAGAAGTAAAGCAAACGTGCTCCTTGGTACATTTCCTTGGTTCTTTACCTTAAGGTCCCGGCACTGGGACTGGAGCCAGTCATTGATGAAACCTTGAGGGTCTCTGGCAAAGCTCAGCATGAACTCCCGCTGGGTCTTCAGCTGATTGATGGTTTCTATGGTCTCATGGATCTGAAAGAGAAGGGAAGTCATATAGTCTTCAAACTGGGCAAAGGCAAAGTGAAGTGGGAGACACAGCCCGGTGTCTCCATGTGCCACTCCCACCAGAGGTACACTATGCTGCCCAGAGATGGCAAAACTGCCCAGACGTCTGGCTGTTCCAGCACTCAGCATCCTGTCAGCATGTCTGAGGGAACATCCAAAGTTTTGGGGGAAATTCCATTCCATTTTTCACATGAACTTTTTGGAGTCCCCTCACATGCACACTGCCCTTAGGTATTTGCACTTGTTTCTGTGTCTCGGTACATCCACATGAAGGAAAATTTCCTTTAAGTCTCCATAACGAGCAAAGCAATACAGTGGACAGTCTTTGGTAAAAACGAAGAGAATCAAAAGCAGTGGTTCCCTAACTTTTATTCTCAGCTCTCTTCTATTCTTATTCTAAATACTCTTCCTGACAATTTCACCTATGTGTACGTCTGCCACTTCCACAGAAATGCTCATTTAGAGGGCTGGATTTGTTTTCTAAACTCCAAGCAATCCAACTATCTTAACAGTGCAGGGCACCTACACTCAATGTGTTCAAGACTAAATTCTTTACCCTTTCCCCTCTTCCTGTTCTTTAGCCTAGTAAATACCACTATCCACCCAAGCTCTGGTAGTACAGTGGTTACGAATCGGGCTGTGAACCACAAGGTCAAGAGTTCAAAACTACCAGCTGTTCCATGGGAGAAAGATGAGGCTTTCTGCTCCCGTAAAGATTTACAGCCTCGGAAACCCTGTACAGGGTCACTATGAGTCAGAACCGACTCCACGGCACATAACAACAACCACCCAAGCTATAAGTCTAAGAGTGATCACAATGCCTCCTTCTCCCTCATCTCGTACCCCCATCCATAAAATGGCCAAGTTCCTTCAATTCTACTTCAATACCCCTCTCAAACCTGCCTCACTTCTATCTCTAAGATTTGACCCTCAACACTGTTCACATGGATTACTGTACCAGTCTCCTAACTGGGGCCCTTGCCTCCAAACATGCATGTCCCTCTTCCAATTCACTCTCTATTTTTCTGTCAGTGATCATTCCAAATGCAAATGGAATCACTGGTGAAAATCTTCTAACAAACTCTCCTGGTCTTCAGGATGAAATCTTAATCAGTATTCCCTGTATCAGAGCTCCTGTCTGATTTGGTTCCTGCTTTCCTATCCAGCTTCCTCTCCCACACCTTCTCATCCTAGCACACTACACAGTTTAAGCTTCTTGAACATACCAGGCTCTCTCCTATCTCTGCACTGTTCCCTCTTTCTGGAATGCCCTCTAACCTCTTTCTCCCAAGCACCACCATCATTCTCCCCTTTAACTCCCACTTTGTCCTTTAAGACTGACTTGAGGCATCAGGTTTTCCAGGAAAGTCTTCCTATTCATCTTTGTGCTGCCAGAGCTATATTTAATGATGTTAATGATAACAACAGTGCAGTTCCATTTGTTATGTCTATGTGGGAGGCAGTGTCATGTGCTTTGCAAACATGACATCTCATTTAACCCTCATATCAACCTTATAAAACAAATACAATAGTCTTTACTTCACAGATCAGAAAGAGAGACTCCAAGCTATTAAAAAGTAGAATCAGAATCAGAACCTGTGTGTCTGGCTCCAGTCAGCTCCAAGCACAGTCAGTGGCAGACAATGGGGG